TGTCCTTCGCAAGCGTAACCTATGGAGCTGCAATCGATTTCTGGTTACAAGGGAACTCTGGAAAGCAGCCATGGTCCCTGGCCTAACGTTTGCTAATGCTGTGGTGTGCATTCCTGGAGACGTGAGGGACATTCTGGAGCGCCGGCAGCGCGAAGTTGGGAGGCAGGCCCTAGGCTGCCATGGCATGGTGGCGAACGAAGCGGTCCAAGGAGATCTTGGATGGTCATCGTTTGAAGCCAGAGAAGCAGCTAGCAAGATCGGCTACGATGGGCGTCTGCGACTCATGGACCGAGGACGGTGGGCCAAACGACTGTTTGTGTACATACACTTGACAGGGATACAGACAAAATGGAGAAAGCGACTGTACCAGCTGGAAAAGAAATATGGCTTCTTTTCTGTGCCCGTGGCTGCCACTACAGAGCAAAAGTGGGAACTCGAGGTGCGGAAGAGAGTGCGCGAGGAAGAGGCTGTGCAGTGGTCGGAGGCGGCCCGCTCAAAGTCAACCCTGCAAGTGTACAACCGCTGGAAAAATGAAATATCAACAGAGACAACCCTGTATGATAATAGCCTGGGCAGCCGCCTGCTTTTTGAAGCACGTGCGGGAGGGCTAAGGACGCTAGTGTACAGGCAGCGTTTTGACCAACAGGTACAATCAACATCATGCCGGGCATGTGGCGAAACCGAGGAGACTATCAAGCATATTGTGCTCTCCTGCCCAAGTCTCGTACCAAGACACCCGGTAGATTGGGGCCAGGCGCCAGACAACGGGCTGCATCTAGAAGAGGCACAATCACACGAACAATTTCTGGCAAAAGCCCTCGGCTTCCGAGTTGGGGACACAGGCAGGGATGCTGTGTGCTGGCCCAGTGCGGACTTAAATCGCGCTGCAGTGGCACTGCAGCCCAGCTGCAGCGACGCAGTCGAGAGGACTAAAAGGAGGCTGGAGGACTGGTGGCGAAGAGTGCAACAGTAGTGCAATTTTTTTTTCTCTCCGTTTTTATTTGGCTAGGTTTGATTTCTATTCAAACCGCCCGCTTCAAAGGGAACAGCCATAAAATCATCATCATCAAAATCATCATCGGTGGTGACGTCAAAACACCTGTGTAGCGGCGCTTTCTTTTTCTTTTCTCTTTCATGTCTACTTTGGAACGCGTGAAACGGCATCTCTTGGCTCACGCTCTTAGCATCTTAGCTTTGACGGCGTTCGAATTTTTGTTGTTTTTTTGTACTTTAATCTTGATCTCGCGCTCCGCACCAGAGCAGGCACGCTTCTGCGTGCGTGACAGTTTGAGACGCTAAAATTTGTACTACCCAAAACAAGTCCTAACAAGTCCCCTTTCGCAGCACCCCCTGGGCAACGCAGGAGGCCCATCATGGCGGACATGTGGGATTCTAAAATAGAAACACGACAAATGCTCTTACATACGCAATTAGTGCATATGTGTTTGAACGCCTAGAAGAGCCTCCTGGGTGCGTGAAATCTTTCGCCACCGAGATACCGATGGGTACCCGCGAACCTTGTTCCCAGGCTGAGGGACCGAGGCACAGAGCTCTTTCGAAGGTGATTATTTTTTTAAACTATACGTGTCTTTGAAACCAGGGTCACGCATGTCGAATAGAAAGCGATGAGGTCGTACCTAATCAATTAGTCGCTCAGAGCCCCTGACTCTGGATCGTCTGCCCGACCCTTTGCTTGGAGAGCGGCTCTTTTACTTCCTCTTCTTTCACCACCAAAGAAAAAACGACAACGGAATCGCCGTGCACGCGCTGTTCCGCAGCAGCAGCAAGCACGGCACAAGGAGCGTGAGAGCGCTTACACTGCGCTGCTGAAGCGCTAATCGAGCGTTGCTAAAGCGCTAACCGAGCGCATGCTGAAGCACTCATGAGGCGCTAACTTAGCGCTCCGCTGTATGTGTGAACCGGCCTTTACACATAAATGGCAGAACACGGGTTATTATAGGGCAGTATTTGCTTTAAAATTTAAGGACAAAAATTATATATTTGGCTGCAAAAAAAGCGGTGACCAGTTGGCCTCTTCGACGAGTTGCCCTATGACGAATGGGCCTATTCGATGAATGGGCCGCCGACGATTTGGCCGTCGACGAGTTGGCTTTCGACGAGTTGGTCTAGAATAAATCAGTGGTACCAAATGCCGTGACGGCCTCCTTGCGTTAGGCGATTGTTGGCTGATCAAGGTATACCTCTGGGGATTAGGGCTATGTTCGCACGTCAAGCGAAAGTGTTTGTGTCTGTGTGAGAGAGATAGAGAAAAAGAAAGAACGAACCGGAGAGAAGAGAGATACGGTAAACAAAGTTTGCTGGCGTCCCCAGGGGATGGGTGGAGGGTGGAACTGCCACTCGCGCTTTGAGATGAAAAACGTTCACTGTCGAGTATTTACTGTTTTCATTTATTATTATTTATTATGTAGGAATACTACTGGCTCCAGTCAAGGAGCCATGGTAGGAGTGGGTACAAAACATGTATACAAGATGCAGATTTATAAATGAAAACTCAATTAAGTATGAATTCAAGAGCAGATACAAAATTAGCAACAGTTTATTTATTTATTTATTTATTGTACATACCCTCAAGCGCCGAAGCATTGTAGAGGGGAGGGGCAAAGCAAACAAAAATAAAACAAACTGACAAAACAATAAAAAACAAACAACAAGAAATTGAAATATCAAAAACACACAGCCATTGGCAAAAGCGGCAAGCAATATATTTTACGGAAAAAATAAACAAAATAAAATGACTCATGTTGGCTCACCAAACAGAAATGTAGACAAAGATTGGCGAAAAAGAGAATAATCAGGTATAGTTGCGATATCTGCTGGAAGGTGGTTCCAGTCGTTTGATGTATGCGGGATAAATGAATAAAAAAAAGTGTTTGTTTGGCAACGTGTTAATCCAACTTTATTCCGATGGTCCAGACGGGAAGTGTTAACGAAGTCCCTTTTGATGCGATGAATACAAATGATCACCTTATTAAACAAGTAATATGGTATATTCGAATCTATTAGCTCCCAGGGCCATTTGTTACATTTCACAAATGCGATTAAATTTTGAGGGTTACTTGCTCGCCATTATGAAAGTTGACATCAGGATGTCATCTGCACCCTGGCCCAGGATACCGACAGTACGAGTGCTACGCACACGCACACAGTTATAACGCGTTTTTTTATTGTCCTTGAGAAATCAATGGGGCAGCGTTTGTCGTGACGCTGCTCTTTCGGCTATGGTGCGCGGCAGCGACAGAGCAATAGGTATTAATGCTGACTATCGGTACAATTAAACTATCAATCCATGTGCAATTTAATTGCCTTTCGTGCTCGACGTCTTCAGATGGCCTCTTTAATACTCATTTTTTCCACGAAGGAAGCTGCGAACCACCATGCAAAAGATGGGAGACGTTGCGCGTAATTTGTTAGCGAGCCTTCCCTTCCGAGGCATCGTCGGGCGTCGATGTCTGCCGTGCCTCGCCCAGCGCGACCAAGATGGCGGCCGCCACTGAATGGCAGCGCAGCGCAGTCGGGAGGGGTGGGGAGGAGGATGAGGAGGAAAAGGGGGGGGGGGGGGGGGCGGAAGCGACCAGAGTGGGTGGGGTGAAATGAAATACAAATGCAGAAATGAAGCCTAGCTCGCGAGAGCGTCGCACCGAGGGGGAGGGAAATGAGCGGCGGCTGGGGGAGGGGGACGGAGAAGGAGGAGGGAATTGCAGTGGAAAGAAGCTCAAAGAAGAGGAGAAAAACAAAAATCCTCTCGTCACTAGTTTTTCGAGCTCGGACGTTCTCCGGCCGGGTGGTTCCACCCACTTCCATTTGAGCTTGCCTTCGCTTTGCCCTCGCTTCTCTCGCTTGTGTTTGTTGCCACCGGAGAGCCATGCAAGAGGAAGCTTTGGAAGAAATGATAGTTCTTACCGGAGGGGTTGCCATAACCCGGCTGATAAAGAAGGAAAGAGAAAGTCTTCCTCATTCTGGGGTCTCTTTTTTTACCTTCACGATCTGGGTTTTGACTTGCGTCTTTCTTCCCATTTGTATGTTTTTTTCTCTAATGAATTCTCTGGCCATGGTAGAGTGTAAAGGACAGGAAAAAAAAAAGGGGGGGGGGGGGGAGGGAGAGGGGAGGAAGTAAGTAAGCAAACTCATGTCTGTGCATTGTGTGTGGGGGGGTTGGGGGGGGGGGGGGGGCATTTCTGGTTTGACTACAGTGAGAGTATCAGCCAGTGGAGTATGTTCAGATCTAGAAACAGTATATAGTTCACCCACTCATAGGCGTTAACTCATCTTTCAAGCTCAAGGCATGAACAGTTTGTTTAGAAATGATCAGAAAAAGTAATGTAGACTTCCCTCAATTTTTAAATTTCAAAGTTTTTGTTTTAGGCAATACATACTTGCATTTTTGTTGATTTACAACATTAAACATGCCAATTCTTTGAGGTACTGGTTAATTTTATATTTTAATTATTGGAATATGAGTGTCATAGAAAAATAGTTTGAGGCAGTAATTACAAAATCTTTAGAATACGGCTGGACCCATGAAGACATATGTCATATGGCCAGCAGAAATGCCCTCACCGTCTCCCTTTCTCAAAGCATTTCTTCCAAGGGCACTGCTGCAGTGCTTAAATAGGGTTTGTGAACCTTTACAGCTTTCGATGGTACCTGCTGTTTGAGTGCAGCTTAGGCTAGGATATTGTGGCTGTTAGGATATTGTCTATCATCGTAGAAATTTATGCTGTTATGTCCTACTTATCCAAACACTTTCATTGTCTGCTTGCATCACTAACATAATAGTGCATTGAATTAATTGAGTCCAACAAGAAGAACAATAAGCATGCTAATTTCCTGCAAAAATAATTTAATCAAATAGAAATTTGGTTTACCAGGCTTTGGGTCAGCGGAATGTCACAGTGCACCCTGTGTGCACCAGGGCGCTTTTGGGAGACAACGGCCAGTGCAGCCGAGAGTGAAACTCTGCACTTGAACTTCCCAGGACTATGAGTCGAGCCATGGACGACAATGACCCAGCATGGACAAGGGCACTCTGAATGCGGCCTTCAGCTGCCTGGAAGGCATCTATACAAACCAGAATGTTGGCAAGCACGTCAGCGCCCTGCTGCAGGCCAGTCGCAACTCGGCCTCCCACTTCCTGCCGCCATACCCCCTGTTTCCCCCCCTGGCACCACCTGGGGCCATGCCTGCACCAGAGGACTGTGCCAAGAAGGCCCATCAGCCGCAGCAGCAGCAGCAGCAGCAGCAGCAGCAGCATCAGCATCATCATGCACGGGTGAGGCCTTGACCATATGCCACAAAATCATAACCTGCAGCTGGCTTTCTTATATGAACCATGAAAAGTCTTTGAGTTGTGATATTTTGAAGTGTGTCTGCAGTGTATTTAAAATGGCAGTTTTTAACCAGAATTAAGCTTTGTTTGTACTGTCTGATCTCGAAAGCTAAAAAGGGACAATTTCTCAATCGATCTAGCACTGTGGGTGCCTCTGTAAGCTTGAATTTTACAAGTCTTCTAAAACTGTGAGCAGTGATAGAGTGCAGGTGAGCTGGTAATGAATCAACATCTTGTAGACCCTGAGATTGTTCCCTATCTCAGGGTCTACAAAATGTAAAACTGTTAATTGTTTGTTGTTTTCAAAGGCCCTCAATGTACTACCCATTTCTTTTCAAGAATGTTTAGACATGCCGTAAAATACCGCGCATCCCCCCATTCTACATTAAAGGGGCGATGCAACGATTTTTGTATTTTGCGCAAATACCGCTTAGAACGAATCCCTGACGTTAATGACTTGTGAGATACCCGTTCGTTTTTCACCACAAGCAATCGAAGTTGCAGAAAAAAATAAAGAAAAGCGAGCAGAGTTCACCCCCTCAACTCGCAGCCAGAACAAGCGGCTACGTAATCTGGAGCCGATTATATGCCGCCAATGTTCATCATAGCCATGCGCTGGGGTTTGCAAGGCACAGGACACGTGCTGAGTTCCAGACATTGTTATGGTTTGACTGTTGTCGTCATTGCAGCGATTGGACACAGGCCACTACCCGAATGCTTCTCGAGCTATCGATTATCACGAGCCCAAATCGAGTGTCCACGCCATGCTCGGGTCCAATCTATGAGCCGCATTCAAATATCGTCACTGGGCAGTACTGCTACCGCCCAGCTACGTCATCAGGTTTTGCGAAGGAGAGATTGAATGAAAACACTCGGTTTTGTCCTCGAAATTACAGCGCAACCAAGGAATTTCTTGGTCAGTGGCGTTGCGTGCGAGTATCCTTGAGTCCTACTAGTGCCAGTAAGCTCGTGTAAAGTGAAAAACATTCCAATTGAATATCATTGCACTGCCCCTTTAAGTGCCCACTCCCAAATTTGTAAAATCTGAGAGAATATGCACAGTACATTGGTATGTAAAGTTTGTGACCAGACAAGCGCCCATCCCCCATTTTTTCGAGATTATCTCTAAATTTTGAGTAGGCGCTTGCCCGGTATTTTGCGGTATATTTAATCACAAAATTGATGACGAAAAATTTATTAGTGTGTATTCGTTATGAGGTATCTGGATTCACTGAGAGTTGCGGCATGTTCTGCAGGTCCCTACCTCTGGTGCTTCAGCCAAGTCAGAACGGAAATCAAAGCGTGATCTTGGAACCTCGTCCAATGATGGCTGGGTACAAGGCCAGGAAAAGTTCAGCTGGGATGGCTCCCCAGTTGCAGCATACAACCCTGCGACGAAAATGTTTCGTTGCGTCGCTTGCAACACCCTGGGTTTTCTGTCAAGGATTGCCGAACACTACCTGGGGACTCACGTGAATGCCAAGGCAAGTATCCAATCCATACCAGCTTTCAGTGATTTCATTGTGACATGGACACATTCTTACAACACATATCTTGCAAGTGACATCGTTACATATTACTGGTGGCTAATCCCACATATGGCTTGCCTCAAAAAGTTCTGCTTGTACAATGTAAAATGAACACGGCAGTTCTTTCTGTCATGCTCGGATCAAATAATGGCAGTGAAAGCTAACTGTAGCATTGCCAATTTGGGTCCTAGACATGAGTGGTGCTTCACAATTAGCAATATCTTCAATTGTTTTACAGCCATTGACATCTCCACATAGTGTACTGCTGGTCTTTGATCCTTGGTAATTGATTTAGTTTAAGTCCTGTACTGCAATCTCCATGAGCTGTACTGTCATGCTCCTTGGGCAAAGTTTTTCTTCCAAAGTAACGCATGAAAGTTCATATTCTATTGCAGTACACCAGTTTAGAGCATCCAAATAACAGGAACGAGATTGATTTAGTATGTTCCTGTACTGTGGAAAGGAAGGCCCCTACAGAGACCTCAGAAAAATGACTTGCACTATACTCGGCGTCAACTCTTTTGTGCTCCGTTTTCAGAGATAGCCTAGCTTCCACAGTGCTCCAACTCTGTCAAAGCTAGTTGCACAAGCGCATGCAAATGAGGCACAAAAAGCAAAGCAACTTGCTGTTGCAGCAGTACGGGATACTGTTGCACAGTGTAAGCTACGCTAGCTTTGACAATGTAGCACAGAATAAATGACGCAGAGTATAGTCCACCTTTAAAGTTTAATAGGAAGCGCGGTCATGTGTGGCTTTCTGAAGTGAAAATTCGAAGTTATTTACCCCACATGGGTGCACAAAATCCTCTTTGGTCCACTCAAACTCAACATGCATACTCTTGTGTGGGCATATAGTGTATTTTCTTTTTAGAGAATGTGGTTTCAGGGCACGCCCTGAATGCTTGCTGACACCTTTATTCAAAACATGCCAATTATGCTAGAAAGAGATCAAATAATGTCTAAAGGGACTTTAAATAGGTGTGACATCAGTATACAAAAATACTGAGGTGAGCAGTTTCCAAACAAAATACTCTGCTAACTAACAAACTAAAAGAAAGACTAAAACACACCGATGAGACTCTTCTAATGGTTGTAGTACAGAACGCTCAGTTAAATATCGGTGTACCTTCAATAAAGTTGAAGGACAGGGACACTGGCTCAGGTGAAGAGCCTCAGTTTTCGGCCGCTCTACGAGATCTATTCAATCCAGAAATGCATTGCGATGACACGAAGCTACGGCAGGTCCCGTCGATCAGACCTGTTATTTTTCGGTCTCCCTTATAAAGATAATAAAACTTGGAGTAAATCGGAAAGTTTGGTCGTCTAACTGCAACAAACTCTGCATTCGTGTTGACCCAATTAGAATTAAAAGAGTGCATCGTTTGGGCTGTTACGATAAACGAAAGTGTCACCCAATCATTAAGTTCTCCTCATTTAAAAGAAAGTATTATATCATCAGCATACAAGCCAAAAAACCTGCCTTTTGCTATAACTGAGGGTTTCCTGGTATCTGTCAGAGTCATACGCTGCAAACTGCTTGAATTTGCCCAATCTAAATGTTTGCCCTTCAAACTTCGTCACAACAAGCTGTTAATGGATGACAGGTGCTTTATATTCGGTACTATACAAAGTTTGATTCGAGAAAAAAAAACAGCTGTGTCTGCCACTTCCCTTTCCCGCCACACCCTCATTGAGTTCTGCTATCCAGAGCCAGACACATCTGTGAAGTGTCCGTTGAGCACTCTGTACTGTTTAAACATTCAAAGATTTATACCTAAAATGGAAGATGTGCATTCTCTGATTGAAGCATGCTACGCGGACTTTGTTTTTCTGACTGAAACAGGGCTAAACCCTGATATCGCTGACTCAGATTGTTTCCTTCAAATTTTTGTTTTCTTATTTACCGTACTGACCACCGAGTCGGAAGGAGAGGGGGAGGTGTTCGGAAAAAGAGGGGGACGTGTTCTTTTAGCTGTCAATAACCATATCCCATCAAGGCTTATCTCAGTAGAAACAAGCCTGGAAATCGTCTGGGTATGCCTCACTTCTAAGCCAAGTATTATACCTGGCGTATGCTACAGGTCGGCAGATATTGGTAGTGACATCGTCACTAAGGTTCATAAATGTGTCTTTCAGCTTACAATCCTTTATCCTGGTGTCACCCTTGTTCTTCTTGAAGACTTTAATTGTCCAGATATTGATTGGACTGCCTTCTCCTCTGGCAGTGCCATTTCCAATGCTTTCGTTGACCTGTGCCTTGACTTTAGTCTTTCAAACATTATCACTCAACCAACCAGAACTACCAAAAACTGTGGCAATGTGCTGGACCTGTGCCTAACACAAGCGCCAGCCCTTATTAGTAATGCCATATAAGTACCGTAAAATCCCGAGAGATGTCCCACTCCCAAAAGATAGCCCACCCCTATTTTTGGCTTGGTTTGCTATATTTTTTTAAACACCGAAAGATAGCCCACTTCTAGTAATAGTAGTGTTGGGATCAGTGATGGCCTCGGCATAAATGCGACTAGTTAGCTATGGTGGGATATACGCGAACATTGCTGACTGAGAAGTACAGATATCTTTGCTTTGTTGCTGGAAGGGACACAACCTTAAAATAGCAATTTTTTTTAACTTTTCTTGATTGTACATTGAGAGTTAGCCCACTTCATATTTTCACCCGATTTGCTCTTGATGTTAGGTAGGCTATCTCTCTGGATTTTATGCAGGTACTTACCCGGCATTAGTGACCATCTTGTTATTGAATCAACTAAAGCACTGCACGAGCCTACGTTTTTGGGCTCGGCCCGGCCCGGGCCCGCTGACTCTTAGTGTTACCCGACTTGGACTCAGTCCGATGGGACGCCTTGATCAGGCCCGGCCCAGACCCGGCCCAATGGGATGCCTGCCTGATCAGGCCCGACCCGGTGAGAGGCCAAAGCTTGCCTCAACTTTTAAATTCAAAAGTGCCCTGGGGAGGTTTTGGTGCTATTGATTTGTTTACTAATTTTCATGAAAGACGCTGTCATATCGTAGTCATGTGGTGAACATACGAAAGCTTACACAAATATAAAAGACATAGCTTCATCTTTGGTAGCAAGAGGGCATTTTTTTTTTCTTCTTCAAAAGTTCAAAAAGGAAAGGGAAATACTTTCTTACTGCCCCCTGTGACCTTATTGCCCTTGTTTTCTTGCCTGCTGGCAGCCGTGCCGCTATGCTGATTAACCAGGATTCTCCGTATATTCTTGCGGGCTTATATAGCGAAAAACGGCTTTCCTTTTCTAAGATTATTTTAGTGGCATCGTAGCGAGATGGCACTTCCGTTTTTTGTTTCTTCCAAATCTAAACGATCAATGCATTAGCTTTCCTTCTCAACGTTTTAGAAAGTGTGCTACACCATTGCGCGAGCCCGGTCAGGGCCCGAAAAGAATCCGTCCTACCTGGCCCGGGCCTGCCCTGGACTCCGAAACAATCCGCACAACCCGGCCCGGGCCCGGCGTGCAGGCTGGGCCGGGCCCTGTGCAGAGCTCTAGAATGAACACTTTCTCTCACCACTCCTCATAAATCATGCTACTCTAAATTTATTTGATATTAAGCGAATGCCGACTATACCTCTATCAACTCACAGCTGAAACACTTCTACGACACTTTCTCGAACGGTTTTGAGCAAAGATCTGTCAATGTTAACTGGACACTGTACAAAGATATACTAATTAAACTCAATAAGTATTTTATGCCACTTACTCATGTCATCTCTGATAACGACAATCCTTGGTATAACGAAACAATTCATAAACACTCCAATGAAAGGAAAAGGCTTTATAGATCGGCTATGTGTTGCCACACACTGGAAGCCAGTGACAAATACCACGAGTGTGCTACAGGATACAAAACAGCTATAAATGAAGTGAAAACTAAATTCTGTACTCGAGACCTCTCGAACATTTTGATTAACAAGCCGAAGAAATTTCGGAAGATTGTTAATCCTTCTACGTCGCCTCCCCTACAATTCACTGACGACAGCGGGTGTGATCTATCTGATTACCAAAGTGCTCTTTCACTTAATAATTTTTTTAGTTCCGTCTTTACAGATGAAAACTTCGTGACTATTCCCGTCTCATGCCAGTTTTTACACGCTCCGATGGGGCCCATCACCAGTGAATATGCCTGCGTCCTGAAAGCAATCGAGTACTTGAAACTGTCTTCCAGCTCAGGGGATGACGAAGTCAATTCTAAGATTTTAATAGACCGATCTCACCAAGCGTTCGGCGCATGCGTGACACCGCCATAACTTTAGTTTGCAGGAGGCATGGCAGCAGTGCACAAGACGGCTCAAGCCGCCTCACGCTCCACATGCGCAGAGCTCCAGCGAGGTTGTCGCACGTGCAGGAAGACTAAAGCTCCCTCGATGCATTGCGGCAGCGGTGGCGTAGTCAAACTGACTGGTGAGATCGGTCTATAAACACAAAAGACACATCCGGAGCTTTCTTTTGTGACATATTTTCCCAGTCACTTATTCTTACTGAAATTCTGTGGGACTGGAAGACTGGCAACGTATCCCCTGTTTTCGAATCTGGCGACCGCCACCTAATTACAAACTATCGTCCCATCTCCTTAATTAGCGTATCATCTAAGCTCATGGTACACATACTTTACTCCAGTATAATCAATTATTTAGAAGATAACAACCTCCCTTTTAATCACCGACATGGATTCCGGAAACCATACTCTTGTGAAACCCAACTAACGGCGTTTCTTCATGACATCCACTATACCTTGCAAACAGATATATTTCACAAGTTATTTAATGGTGCTGTAAATGGCAGATGACCCTAAATTGACAAATGCAAATTCCTTCTGTTTTCTCGTTGTGCTCTTGTTTTACCTTTTTATAACAATCTTGATGCCTCCCCTATCGCTGTTTGCAGTTCCGACAAATATCTCAGTATTCGTTCAACATTTGACCTTTGATGGACGTCTCACATAGATAATATAGTGGCTAACGCAAATCGTTTCCTTGGCTTTTTGAGCCAAAACCTGAAACCCGCAACACCAAAGTTCAAGCAACTAGCATACTTAACTTTAGTTCGGTCTAAGCTTAAATTTGCTTCTTCTGTATGGTGCCCTTGACGATCTTACCTAGTAGTTATAAAACTTTAATCCATCCAAAACGGAGCTCTGCACTTTATTTTTGATTACTCGCCATTCACAAGCATATCTGAATTGTGCGAAACTGCTAACCTTCACACATTTTTATTAAGGTGCTGAGTGTCCCGTCTCTCTCTCCTTCACCGTATCTTTCATCATAACGTGCCTCTTCGTGAATCGCTGCTTTTACCCCCGTAACAGATTTTCCCCCACTTTGACCACTCCTGTAAGTTGCGGCCTATTTTTTCGTCAACTACTTCATACTGTAATTAAACTTCCCCCTTGACCATCAACGATTGGAACATATACCAAACGACATTGTTACCATAACTGACACACATAAATTTTCTACCTCTGTAACCACTTTCATTTCTGCTTTATCGGACTAATTCCTTCTATTGTGTTAAAATTGTGTGCAAAAATGTTCAATGAAAAAAAGCTGCTCCCTTGTTTAGTACGGGCCTTGGAGGATAATAAATGATGATGGTGATGGGAGGTGCTCTTGAACCCTGATAGCCTTGAACATAAATAATTTTAATGTGAAAGCATTAACTGGGTCCCATGGAGTGAACCGACGTCATCAGCTATGAAGCCGCGCCAAATGGCACCTAAACTCTCCTGTCCCAATGGAGCAAAGTGGGGCTGCGATCTGATGGATAGGCTTCCATTGGCTGGCGCGCGTCATCAAGGGACGAGGCTCCCATTGGCTCTCGTGTGGCGTAATGCCAAAAAAACGCCACCAGAGAAGCCCCTTCCCTGGCGGTGCAGCGCACGCAGTGGCCCGGCCGCTGGTAAGAGGTGCCAGGCCACACAGCCCACTCAGGCAAACTCCGGAGAGGCTGCATGGCTGAGCTCAGCGTGGTGTGGCCACTTCACGAGAGCGCGTTCCCGGTCGTTGGCCACTACCTTGGCAGTAGCGAAACGTGGCTGTCCACGCCACTACGCCGCAGACGAACTAAGGGAGCAAAAGAATGACATTCATGCTTTCACACTTACAACTCATAAGAAATGCTTATGTGTCCTCGAACTTTTTTTTTTTTTTTGTACAAAGTTCTAGAATGTGGTGTCTTAGACACCACCCTTAATGCAATTGCTACAGAGTCATAATTGACTGAGAAAAACAAAGTCAACCGAAATCACGGTACTACTAGCACAGAGGAATGTGACACTAGAGACTCTGAGAACCATGAGGGTTGTTTCACTCCCCGCGACTACACACTTAGGGTTCCTTTAAATCAATTTAATTTTGCTGTTTTGATTGTCGTAAAGCTTGTGTTTTATGGATTATATTAGTATTTTTTTATCAATGGAAATGTGTCTCAGGTTGCTCATCACCTCTTCAATATTATGAGTTTTATGTTCTTGTTGGAGGTGACTGATTAAAAGAGAGCCAGCAGCCCTCAGCAATCTGTTCTCAGCAGACTGTTCTCATGCAAAGTGAAACTTCATTGAAAGTTGTTTCTGTACACATCTAGGCAGGCATAAATGCCTTGTGATTTAACATTGAGCTTCTTTTGCCTTGTGGTACATGCATGACTTGATCTTTGCATCGAAACCAGCAGCAGTGAGTGAATTCAAGCTCTCTGTCAGGTGAAGAGGAAATGTGTTATATGATTGTCTTTCCACAGTGCCAAGTCCGAGCAAGTGTGCCTTTGACCGTTCATTTTGCTTTCTGTTCATACAGCAGGTGTTCCAGTGCCCAGAATGCCCATACAGCAGCGCCTGGTCGCGCTGCGTGCGTTTGCACCTGGGCAAGGTGCACGGCATCCAGAATGCGCCAGCTTCGCTCTGGCGCGACCAGCCTCTGCTCGACGAGATCTTGGGAATCCTGCAGAACCTCAAGAACCTTGCAGAGGCGTCCAATGGCAGTGGCCTGGTGGCAGCACCGGCCACGCCGGGGTCTGTCGCCGAGAAGCGCTATGTGTGTCCGCGTTGCCCGTACGCGACGGACCGCAGGGACTTGTACCACCGACACGAAAACATCCACAAGGACGACAAGCCTTTCCACTGCTACGTCTGCTTCAAGCTGTTCAATCGGGCCGACCACGTCAAGAAGCACTTTCTGCGCATCCACAAGAACCATCCGTACGACATTGGCCTGATTCGGCGCCACCCGCCTAGGACTGGCTCCTCGCACGCGTCGCCTGTCGCGTCGTCGCATGGGCCTTCCACTGGCCAGAACGGCCAATGGGCGCTGGCACACTCCAACGTCGGGGTGCCTCGACTGCCTACAGGGAGCTGCGGGGCAGCCGACTGCTCCGGCGTCCTCCCAGGAACCAATGGCTGTTCTGCAGGTAGGGCGACAGGCGTGGGACTGGCTAATGTGGCACGACTTTTCTTCGTCTGTAGAATTGACGGGAACCGGGAAAATCTTTACTATTCTGTCGTACCTGTTTTTACGACTCGCATGTGTTAGCATTGGGGTGTTGAACCCAAATTTTTCGTTCTCTTTTAGAGGAAATGGTTGGTTGATGTTTGTTTCAGCTCTTGTGGTAACTTGTGAAAGCCCTAAGACCCTTAAATTTTTCGGTCCTTTGAGTGAGTTTCTATGCTTAAGAATGTTACTTGAAAACATGAAAATTGAAAAACACTATATTGTATGGGGTGCTTCAGCCAACATGTGCAAAGACTTGTAAAAAGCTGGTGCACACTGTGTGTCGAACCAATGCAGTATTGTTTGCGCAGTCCTATGCGCCGAGAAACTAAGGGATAGGAGGAGACGAGCGCGCGTGGGGGGGGGACATCAGAACGCCGAGCTCCGGTTCAAATGATTAGTGAGTAGACCTAAAGCTAGCTGCCTTTGTTTTCACTGCACTCGTCGAATGCGTTCGAATGCGAGATCCAAATGCCGGACGCCTGCGTTCCACGTTCTAACGCGTTCAATGAGTGCAGTGGAGACAAAGGCAGCCTAGCTTTACATTTACCCACTAATCATTCCAACCGGTGCCCGATGTTGTGACGTACCCACATGCTCTTGTCTCCTCCTCTCCCTCAGTTTCTCGGCGCATTGAGCAAAGGCGAGACATTTCTTGTGATGTGCTAACTAATCTCTGTGCAAATCCTCCAATACGAAAGTTGTAGAGTGTGTAGAGAAACATCTAATCATGTCATCTTCATCAAGGTAGCCTTTGTGTGCAAGGTTTTAGCTTTAAAAAAAGTCTGCGAGATATAGAAATGGTGTATGTGACTGTGGGCATTTACGTTGCAGTTCACAAGCAGGTAGTCACGTGGGATTTCTTAAAATCATACATGTTTTCTCTTATGCTTAAAACTATTAGGCAGAAAACAGTGTAGAAAACTGTTGCACAGTTATTTCAAACTGCCGAGCGAGTGCTGGAGTTAGCTTCCATGGCATTCATTTCACACCATCAAATTTCCAGTAAATCTGTAATTGCAAAAAAATAATTCTGTTAACATAATAACTAGGGATACTTGGTAGATGACAAAAAATGAAGCACGGGCCTCTTTATCTAAGAGGCATTTGGCTGCCATAGGTGCCTAAACGGAGAAGACGAGTATACTTGCACATTGTGCAATACACTGGACCATTATGCAATACACTGGACACGCGAGTCCTTTAGACTTCATATAGCAGGGTGTGGGACAGCCAGACTAAATACCTATCATGCATGCTCTGTGAAGGAGGCGCACAGAGCTGGGGCTTCCACAACTCGCCATCGACGTTGTGCGGCGGCAGTGGCGGCGGTCACGGCCACGTGGCCAAGGTGCCGGGCTGTCTGGGTGCGGCCCAAGAGGGGGCAGCCAAGGGCAAGCGTGGAGCGGCCAAGGCGGCGACCAGTGGCGGAAGCGCCGCCTCGGCAGCAGCCAAGACGTTTGCCTGCGCCTACTGCCCCTGGCGCGGTGTGGACGGCTGGTGCCTACGGCGGCACCTCAACACGCACATCAAGCCCTTTTCATGCCCTTTCTGCGAGTACAAGGCAGCCCGGTCAGAGCGCCTCAACACGCACGTGCTCAAGGTTCACGGGAAGCACCTGTGCAACAAGTGCCACTTTGCGGGGGAGGACTCGATTGCACTCGAGCGGCACATCAAGGAGAACCAGTGAGTGCCTTCCGACTTCCTTCCTCGGGGGCAAGGAGGTAGGAAGCTTCTGGAAACGACATGAGGATCACCAGAGGTGTGGAGGGACACGCCCCCGCAACGACCAAAACCAAGAGATGCTATTGGACAAAAAGGAGGGCTGACTTCACAGCTGTTTTGGTCACCCTCGGGGCCCCACCAGAGGTGAAGCCAGAAGTGTAAAGGGACATGCCCCCAGTGACGACCAGAACCAAGAGACGCTATTGGACTAAAAGGATCGAAAGCTGACTCAACAGCTGTTTGGTCACCCTCGGGGTTAGCCCTCCTTTTTGTCCATAGCGTCTCTTGGTTTTAGTCGTTGCTAAGGGCGTGTCCCTCCACACTTCCGGCTTCACCTGGTGATCCTCATGTTGCCTTCAGAAGCTTCCTACCTCCATGGTTGGGGGTCTCTTGGAGGCAGTGCTTTTGCCAGAAATAGTATCTTTTGGGTGGTATCAGCACGGGTATGCCTTGCAAAGAAATGGCCCTCCCACACCTCCAGGAGAAAAGGTGGTCATTTTGGGGACAGTCGTTGGCGTACTGGTGGTGACACTATTTAGGAACGAGTCCTTATTTTATATAATGAATGTCTTTTTTGCATAGACCCAGGTCTCTACCAAACAGCCGACTCCACTTTGTTTTGCACCTTGGTGACTGTGAAATAAAGTACTGGACTACTGACCCTAGTTGATGGGTTCAAATCCTAGCCTGGGTGCCCACGTTCTGATGGCGGCTTATTGCAGCATAGACACCTTGTAGCTAGATTTTTAGTTGCTTGCTGGAGATACCCAGATGATCCAGATTTCTTCTCATTCCTTTGCTGGGGCATACTAGATGCCTAAATCCCTTTTACTTATGCCACTGCTTGGAGAGAATCATTGATGTCAATCAATTACGTAACTTTAGAGACGGCCGTGCTGCTGAGGAGTTCACATTAAGGGGATACACCCCTCAGAGGGTCAACTTTTGAACCTTTGGCTTAAAATTAATTAAATTTACAGGGTAGGCTGGTGGTCATGCTAGAAGAGGGTGCATAAGAAAATTTGAGGTCTGTCGGTCAAGTGGGAAGGAAATTAGGGGAGCTTCTATCAGCAGCACCCCTACATTGTTTAGTTAATCTATCGATGGAAAACTATCACAATATTCAAGATTTTTATTCGCTAGATATGTAGCAGAATGCCTAGGGGAGATTTTTGTTAAAAGTCATTGACTTCTATCAATTTTTTCTTCTGCAAAATTTGTCAACTTTTTGGTCTTCCGTGTCTCCAACAAAATGTGAACATTTTTTATAAAAGACATCCATAAAGCGACAAACCAACTCCATAGGCACGCATTCCTTATTAAATTTCAATCAGGAAAAGTAAAGAACGAGCCTTCCCTGTATTGCTATTATCAAACGATAGATTGACTAAAATGGAATTTATACCAAAAAGTGGAACGGAGAAAAATGTGTTCAAAGTGCTCCAAACCCTACCTTTTCTTTAGCTTTGGTGGACAGAAAATAATTGATAAAAAATTAACTATGCAGTGTAAACTAGTGAAAAATTTTGGGAATACTCTCTAGATGTAGATGGATGTAAATATGTAATTTTTCAAAATCAATGTTTTTTGCTGAATTTTTTCTCTGGGTAGTGTCCCTCCTTAACTTATCGTGGGCCAAAGTGTTCTGCTCGACTTGGTGCCTCACCTGGTAGTAAGTTTTTGTTCGCTTGACTGAAATTTTTATTCTGTTTAGTAAAACTTTTTCAATGATTCATTCTTGATGTACATTTATTAAATTTCCACCAGCTCGCCTGCGCGCTGACTGTATTTTCATACGATTTGTGGATTTTATTCACACTTTTTGCAGAGACACTTCCCTACTAAATTCCAATCGATAAAACCATCCACAAAAATATGCGGTTCCCTCGGTCAAGTAGCCCCTTTTTCAGGTCTAGCTTAGGATGCAAGTTATAAGGAATGCTCAGGTGATGCTATTTTTTTACGAGTAAAGGCCCGGCCACACTAGCGTCGCGGAGGCTTGTTGCGCGCCGTCGGCTGCTGCAGGCTGCCGTCCAGAACCAGTTTTCGCCTTCAGCGGCTTGCCGACTGGCGCCGTCCGAGCAGCCGGTCCACGCGCGGTTGAGGGCTTGCTGTTTTTTGCTGCAGAAGGAAGGAGCCAATGGGAGGTGGTGTAGATAGTGATGTTCTGCTGTCATGGCAACACGCAAGCCGCTTTCACGTTACAAAGAAGTGTAGCATGACTTCGTGTGCGATCCCTATTTCCTCCAATGCCTTTTCCAACGGAGAGGTGCTTCGAAACTGCGATAGTGTAAATGGTTGGCACTTGTTGCAACCAATTCTATCGCTCATTCTCAAAAGTAGCCTTCATCTCTGGCGCGCAGCTAGGACAGCAAACCACTGGTCTATCGCTCGATGATTCAATAGTGCCAGCTCGGCCGGCACCAGAACATACGCCTCCTTGCCTTCAGGGCGTGGCGACGTTGTAAGATCAATGAGCAGGCTAGGATGATACCATTCATGCTGATCATCAGGTCATCATCGACACTTGTTATGTAGGCAACGAGTACAATTTTGATGCTGATTTATGCGGAAGATGTGAGCCGGAACAGAAGAACTTAATGAAGAGCAGACAGCAAAAGCGCGGGAAATCCGGCGGAGGCGCGCGTGCGACAAGATCCAGTGCTGTTATGCGACTATAATGCCGGCAAAACTGAGGCCAATGTGGCCCCCTCGAGTTTGGACGCCGGACGGCGGTGCCGCCCGGCAGCGCTGACCGGCAGCGCCGTTGCCGCTAGTGTAGTCAGGCCTTAATAGAAATGTAAATTGTAGTTATTTACCCCTTGTTTGGAAATGGGGACTGAAGGTCCTTGCAACAAAACATCCTCTTGTCCCTATATTTTCTCTTTGTTGCCACCAACACAGCTACATTAACCTGGAACTGCCAGCTGTCCTTCTTGAGCCACTTTCACATCCTTTAGCTCACATCTTCATGAAGTAAGGACAGCAACTCGTTTGTGCCTTTGCCTTCCAGCCCATTTGGTAAGGTATCCCTGGTGGGTTCTAGTGAAAGGTCAACCGAAGCTGTCATACTGGTGAAGCAATCCTAATAAATGTTTTTATTTATTATTTGCTGCCATACACATCTCGGCATAAGAAGGAAACACTTCTGTGAAGCCTAGAGGTAATGCAGTTTTTGTTTGTGGAGTGACATTCCGGAAAGGAAAATTCTGACAAGCCAGGTACACATCACATTGAACTGTTCCTTTCGGGCACTTGGCTAGTGCATAATAGCTAATTTCCCAAGACCGTTTTTGATGCTCCCTGGCTGAGGGCGTGAAATTTTCTTCTTGGCAGCCTGAGCTCGAGCTTGAACGACAAGTCGCGCATGGGCTGCTCCCTGTACCCACCGTTCCCTGTGCGAGCACCGCATCCACCCGCTCCTCAGCCAGTGGACAAGTGCAAGGTCGAGCCTTGTGGATGTTCTACTAACAATGGGACTAGTGCCTGCAGTTCCAATCCCAAAACCCAACTGGGACGTAAGTATTGGCCACGTCGTCTCGCTCCCTGCTTATGACTTACAAGACTTGCTTCGCCTTTTCTTGTTCAGTTATCTGAAGGTTGGCATACAATAGCTATGCTCGTGTCATAACCGCACCTAGTTCAAATTTGGGAGGGAAGTTAATGTCTCAAATCACAACAGGAAATGGGGCACAACATTACATACACTTCATAGAAGTCCTCTCGCTAATTCTTAGTTGGTTGGCAGTCAGCATGGTCTATTGAATTTGCATCTTTTGATGTATCATAGAAAGCTTGTTCATGTTTTCTAGAAGCACATTTAGGGTGACATCTTGACTCTAAGCCTACAGTATTTTCTAGAGTGATGAACTGTATTTCAATCTCGGCAATGGACATAAAGAAGTGGTTGTGGCTAGTTGTTTTAGATGGCTATATTTGCATATATTTAGGCCGCATGCTCATGGTACCAAGGTCCAACTGAATAGTTAGAGGTTTCAGCTTCTTCAATATTTATCGAAAAAGTCAGAGAATTGCCTTCCAAATACCTTTTGCAAATTTGGTTTTCCGGAAATGTACACAGAAATGACGAGCATCAGAAACCGCAAATAAAAAGAGATATGATTTGGAGCTTTTCTTCATCGCAGCATGGACCCCAGGGAAATTACCAAATCAAATTATAAGATACCCACCACAGAGCTGGAGGAGGAATAGGGAGACTGGTCTAGTTATTTGTGCTGAATGGCATTTTAATAAGATCAGAATAAATATGGTATGAGTAGATGTGCCATAGAGTAGTAATATAGTATATGTAAAGAGTGGACACTTCCATAGGCCCCAGCGGCACAGATAGCGGAAGGACAGGTAGGACACCTAGCAGTCGGCAGAGGCCCTAAATTAGTTTCGATGTTGATTAATGTTAGTTTTGGTTCCGTATTTTCAGCGTTTGTTTAACTTCACCTTCAAGCTTTTTTTTTCTAATTTTTTTTAGGTGCTTGTTTACTTTTCGGTTATTTTGAAATCACCCTTTAAAGCTAATGACGGCCTTTTAGCACAGTCACAGTTATTGTTAGAACATTACTTTTTGTTCCAAAAAAACAATCTATTTACCAAAGAGGACCACAGGGGCCGTATTTTCCAACTATCGTTTTCGTTTTCCAATTGAAAACACAGCCCCGGTTCCAAACAAGAATCTTGCCAACTTTCACAAGAACTACATGACTGCCCATGTATCTTGTTGGGAGAAGCTCTGTACCCCAGCCCAGGAAATAACAGCAGCAAAAAGTGATCCAAAACTAGTTTATTGTAGGCAAAATCGGCAGCCAAACAGCATGTTGTGTAGCTACAAATACCTTCATTCAGAAGCAGGAGAAATCTTGCACATTCTTACATGATAATTTAAGGGTATGGTGGTGATAGGCTGAAATATTTTTATCAAGACACATAATGTTTTAGGGAAAAGTGACTTCTAAGTTCTAACACTGGTTATTTCTTTATTATCAAAAAAGGAGTGTAGCCTCTGTAGTTACTGTAATTGGGTTGTGGGTTTATTTAGACAGCTCAATGCTGGCCAGCTCTCAGATGCGGCAGCCCGCCTTTTGCTCTAAATGAGCAATTTAGTCGGTGCAGTTTGACTGCTAACCCGAGGTCTTTAACAAAAATGAAAGAGGACTAAAAAAGTGGCTAAAGGATAAAAGGCTAACGAAGACCAGTTTATGGTCTTCCAAATGACTCATTCACAACATGTGAGAGTACATGAAAGTGTGCTTAGCGTGCCTGCATTTAAGCAACACGTAACTGAAAAATCACTACAAGGTCATCACAGCTGTGAACACTCAGTAGCTGACATGGCTTGCAATCTACATTCTTATGTGTACATTGTTTTGTATACAAAAAAGACCATCATGAACTGTTTTGTACAAGATTATCTGTTTCAAGACAAAACTTCAACACAGAAAAGCATGACCACACTGTAGCACTTAGTACAACTGAAGGACATGAACTGCTAGACTTGAAGCAAAATTAGAGCCTTGGGTTGCAAAATGAAGAAATGTGCAATTAAGAAAAGGAAATTACAAAGCAATTCTTGCCTAAATGTCGACAAACCTTCAAAAAATTCACAGGGTCTCTTAGGTTGTCCCTAAGACGACTTGAAGGCGAAAGCCCAAGCGCCGATGCATTAAAGACAGACACATGATTTACTTTGTTTCACATTCTCTTTTTTGACATTCTCTTTAATTACTCATGATTCACTTTAAATCCTCTTAATTCACTTTGATTCCTCTCAATTCACTCTGTGATCCTTCTTAATTTCACTGTCTCTAATTCGCCTTAGTGGTCACGTAAACATTTTGGTGCCATTCGTGTCGCCGACGTGTTTTTGTTCAAGGACTTTGAAGGTCGACTGAATGATGAGACATATAAGGCTTTCGCTTTAATAATATTTATTCTGCTCGCAATAGCACCAACAGATCGTACACATTGTCTACAGTTGGTGTCATCAAACAAACAATAGGAAGCCATGAAAGTCACATTTTTCGCGTACCTTTGAGTCACGTGGAAAATGAAAAAAAATGTTGGCCTTGCTTCCTGCATGTTTTGCCGTTGTTGGGGCACCAAGCCAGCAGTAATAGTTGCCTGTAGGACATCCTGCAGCCACCTGAAAGCACGCTACAGTGACTACCATATTTCTCATGCCAGTTGATAACTAATAAATAAATACATACTTACAGAAATAAACAAAATACAACGCAACAGAAAAAAAACATTGTGTTGTGCACCAAGAAAAGAAAGGAGGAGACATGAGCGCGCGGGGGCGTCAGAACGCCGAGCTCTGGTTGGACTGATTAGTGGGTTTACGAAAAGCTAGCTGCCTTTGCGTCCACTGTACTCGTCGAACGCGTTTGAACGCGTTCAACGAGTGCAGGGGAGACGAAGGCAGCCTTTGCCTTCACTGCACTCGTCGAATGAAACAACCTTACCGCTGAAAATAAGAAGCACTTTAATTTTGTATTTACATACTTCAAGCTCAGGAACGATGCCAAAATGTTGCAGATGAAACACGCCCGCGCGCCCCAACATGCCCGAACCAAGTGTTGATGATTCTTTGAAGCTGGGGCTGCTGTTACGACGACACTAATGATGTAATGTAGAATAATTTAAGTGCTTGCGATATTTCTATAAATAATATTACACTACGTTTAGTAGTAAAAGTTTTTGTGAACAAATTATTAGCAAGATTTCAAAATGTAAGTTTTTTTCCCAGCAGCGATATATATGGCGTTCGGTCAGCAGAGGCAGCACTACAAGTAATGAAGTAACTTGCTACGTAGCATATCACTCCATGGAGCACTTATCTCGGCTGTGAAGGACCCCAAGTGTCCACTTTTTACGTTTACTATATTCCTCTATGGATGCGCGAGCTTCGCGCCCGCTTCTCGAGAGCCTTTGTTCATTTTGGCAGACACTTTTACTGGCTTTTATTGGTCTGGGAGAATTTTCTCTTTTCATATGCCCGACTTGTGATTAATCTTTGGACAGTTCTCTTAAAGTGGGATGTCAGAGTGTTTGATTATGGCATCTTAGTAAATGCCATGCTTGATTTGACAGATGAGCCGCGACGCGTCATCCTCAAGCAGAGATTGGCTGATAAATGACACTCTGACTTAGAACCTTCGACATGAGATGCCCTTCAGCAATGATTCGAGCTCTTCCTAGTTTTAAAGCATGCGTTCTAAACCCAACACTGGAACTCGAGCTTCGGCAGGATTTCACTTTGTATCAACTTGTCGTCTGCTTTGTTTTATGCGAGGGTGACACCCTCAAGACCTTTGAGAATGAGTTTTATGAGTACATGGGCCAGGTTCTAAAAGAGACAGTCGATGAAATCATTTTCAGAAATGTTGCTTGTCTAACTGTCTGCATTCGTTAGGTGCGGCAGTGAACATTATAGACCTTCCAGTCATGAGTCTGAGTGTCGAGGGAATGTTTTCACAGTTCTGTCCAATCCGACATGTGAAGTCGGAAACAAGTATGGGGAGCCAGTTTTTGGAGTTTAATAAATCAGCAAAAGCTTTAGAAAATATGTCTGTGAACTCCCAGTTGCACGGTACCAACTTGAGTGAAAACCCATGCCGATGCCATTCTTGACAAAACATGACAATATAATATATGGATCATGACTGTACCAAACTCACACTCCATAAAGTAGTTTCTTACGTCATTTTTAAAACAAGAATTTACTATCAAATTGTGTCCAAAAAAGCAATTGACATTTCTCCCTGAACACTGCATAACCCACCACTTAATTCAGTAGTTCGAGCCATTATCCATCCATCTGTGGATGCGCATGTGAAATCATATGCCCATGCTTGTCCAAGTATAACATTATAATATGCCAAAAAAATTAAGACAAAGCAGATAAGGCCAACAGGACACGGCATACTCTGTTTCCATCGGTGAAAATTAGTTTGTCAAACAACGTTTCATTGACAGATTGTTTCGTCGACATGCAATGTTTCATCAAAAGATTTTCTGCATTTGTTTCATTGACAGAACACAACCATGCTGTTTTCACAACAAATGTTTTATGTCTCGCCTAATTTACGGGCGGAGGGGGTGGGTGCCTAAGGCTTGGGCAAACACGCCTCTGTAATTCACACGCTAGCTTGTAGCGGCTTAGTAAAAAAATATGTTGTCAACGAAACGTCGACACAAATGTGTCCACAAAACGAGCTTCCACAAAATGTACTGTGTCGACGAACCCTGTGTTTATGATACGATGCGTCCATGGAGAGCTGTCCACAAAACTTGTTTCTACGTAACGATAGGGACCCTGTCTCTGTTCTATTGTTTTTACTTTGTTTCGTCCTAATGTTTTTGGCATATTCTCAAAGGTGAACCAGAACCAACTAGCCATTTAGCTATTTTAACCACTTGGAGGAATATATCTTTTCGTTACTTTGAAATCGTGGTGAATTAGTCACAGAAATACTTGTATGACATTTACTGAAATTGGGAG